CTATGGATCCTGATGATTAAGTTGAGATCATGTCATAAAATAAAACATTACTTTCCTTTTCTAAATGGGTTTTATTTTTATAGTGGATTTCCTCTGCCCAAGAGTCTCTATCTAGAAAAAATTTCACAATCACAAATGGCAGAAGAACGATGATTCCATCAAATGATTATTAGTCAGAACCATTTTTTCTCAATAGAAAAGGAGTAATCACCCAGCTGGTTGAATGATTAATTTCTCACTAGGTGAAAGAAAAAAAAACAAACGAACTTATTTCTTATTATTCTAAGTGGAGAAGAAACTGTGAATGTTTCTGCTATAGTGAAAAAAAAAAAAAAAGAAGGGACAGACATAGAAGGAGAGAGTAAAGCAACATGGGAAAGTGCCAATTATAAAATTTTTCTTAAAGCAAACAGGATTCATCATATGATTATATTATTGTTTTCTTTTACTATAATAAGACATCATTGGATCTGATTGGTTTCAATTTAAAAAATTATTTTTAAAATAAATAATTTTTTTAAAATTTTTAAATCAAAATAAAATAAAATATATTTAATAGTTTTAAAATAAATAATTATAAATCATATATCTAAAATAATTTTAATAAATAATCATTAATAAAATTTAAATTTAAAATTTTTTCATCAAAAAAATATAAATTTCGATCGATTAAATCGATCATTTGTTGATTAAGAAAGATGTACCTTAGTTTTGTTTCTTACGGGTACTCTAGTACGGGGCGACAGTATCCGCTTTGTGACAAGTCATTCGCTACGTGCCCTAAATTATTAACCCTAGTCCCTAATCTATTGCCATTTTCTTCAAACATTATCCGACAAATTCAATTTTGATGGCTTCCAAACAAGGCCTAGAATTCAAAGTAGTCACTAATTTTTAATGAAACTTGCTTGGTGCAACTTTATTTTGGTTTTTCACCGCGAAACATGCCTACTTGTTCATCTAACTTTGACCCCCTACGTATAAAAGACAAGAATTTAGTTGGTTTCACATCTTCTCAATTAACTAGCTTATCTTAAACCAATGTACAATCAATGTTTTTTTTTTTTCTTTTATAAAAAAAATCACAGTCCGGTAATAAAAATATTACAAATGTTAGGATTAATTTGAATTCTAAACAGTTATTTTTTAAAAATAATTTGATAAATCAACGTAATTAAATTTTAGTTTAGAATCAATATTTTCAATCTTTGCTAAATATATATTTATGAAATTACCAAATAATTTCTTCTGATTCATCAGGCAAAACAGCTTGATTTAATAAAAGTGATTTGAAATTTAACTAAGAAGTTTGAAAAGAAAGAAAGTGAAGGAAAGTAAAAAATTTTGGTGAAACTTCACCATAAAATCTTTTGATTAGATTCCTGAATATCAACACCATTGACTAAAGAAGTTGAAATCTTTTCATTTTAGATTCCATCCATATTCTTATTCAAGCCGCGTGGACAACGGTTACTCAATCAATTGCTAATCTCTCTTTTTGTTGCTTATTGGAGGGGGCAATCTTAAGGGCAACAAATGAATTTGATTGGAAATGAAAACCAACAATTTCCTAATAATCCAAACATGCAAGTCATCTAGATTCCAGGCTCTTACAAGAGCCGTCTGCTTTGCCCCATTTCCCTCCAGGATGTCAATGCGGCAATAGTACAACAACAGGAAGATGATAAACAACAAAACCTTACAATCTTGCTAAGCAGGAAAAATATGGTGTCTGTTGTACGAATTGTCTGTATGTAAATTAGGTCAAACATGGTGGACCCACTGCTCGAGTTGTTCATGTTCTTTTGTCCAAGTTTAACATTCAACTGCTTATCGAGTTACCCTTCCGAGTTCCGACCAATCCTACAGTATTTATTTGCTGTATACATCTGTTGCAAAACTGCAAAGGTTTTTTTTTTTTTTATCCCTTGATCCCTTCTTTTTTATTTTTTTTTTCCACCCTCTAGGGTTTTGATAGTTCAGTCACCATGGTATTGGACTTCGTGGGATCACCTTTTGTAAAGTTTGGCCTTTACAGTCACTTTGATGTTCCCTTTAATTTCATTTCCTTGTAACATTTCCTTTGGCTCATAAAGGCTGTCCCAAGAACTAACCCAATGTGCTCAACAACATCATTATCATCACTTTTAATTTTAACCCACGAAAATGACATGAAACATCCTTACTTTTTACTAAAATTAATAATATGATAAATTAGAAAAAAAAATATTACATCCTTTAACCGGAGTGTCCATCATACTCAATTCTTTCCTTTTTCCCCAGCTCTTTATCAGACAAGTGTTTTAAAGATGTGAAAAATGTTTGGGGTGAATCATTCTTGATTTATGAAACTTGATCTTGAATAGATTACAATTGAGTAGCGTGCATGCAGAGTTTTCTGTCCAAGCACATATTGTTAAGAGAGCTCAAAGCACTTACCACTCTCTTTGCTTCTTCACGAATACACGAAGGTTCGTCTTTATCTTGCTACAAAGCCTGCCCTCAACAAGGTGAACAGGCAACCACATCTTCGGCTTTACAGCAACTAAATACGAAAGGGTTGTCTGGGATTCTTGATAAAAAAAATGCTTTGTCCCCTTCGCATTTTCCTTTATTAAACTGCACAATCATTTAAAAAATCATTAGCTTTTGGATTATGGACCTTATATCGTAATCAACGACTAGATCAAATAATAGTTCCATACAGAACTTCAAAATTTATACTCATAGCTTTTAATGTCATTAGAATGGCTTTAACTTATTCAAACCATTACTTTTGGTGAAGGTGACACGAGTGACAACAATATATTCACCCAGCCCATGAGCCAAAACTATTTGGTCACAAAACATACGTCATGACCCTAGGAAAAAAAACAGTTGTGCAAGTAATTCCCAAGCCAAGCCTCAAGTTTCCAAACAGGGATTTCTTTACCTCTACAAGACCTGCTATACCATACAATTTGATAGGCGCAACCCTAAAGAGCAACACGTGCCAAAAACAATTTGATAGCCTGAATAACTTAAACTTAAAGGTACTTAACAACTAATTCTTACCTGTTAAATCAACCATGTTCCTTCAAAGCGTGTGAAGTCACCATCAACCATCTTAAATTGAATTTCACGCTTTTTACCGGAAGGCAAAATCTCAAGATCTTTCTCATAACAATCTGTAAATCCTTTAGCAATAAATTTCAAACCCAATGGCAAGTTTTGCTGTCCAATCTATTGAAAGAATGTAACAGAACGATTACATCAATGACAGAAGGCAATGACAAAACTTTAGGAAAAAAATCTGTATCGAGACAAAGTTTTCAATCAAGTGATGGACAAAATATCAAGAATTATAAATAAAGAACACGTTTAGCAATTTGATGTTGAGGGACATATGTCATCAATTGACAACATTTATACGCATATGCGAGCCATCAATTATAATGGAGTTGAGAAGATGGATTCACTGCAGCTCTGCGCTATCAAACATTTAAATTAATTTCGAATGAATAACAATAGATATTCTCAATCCATGTACTTAAATTCTACATTTATCCCTTTGCTTAAATCAGTGGAAACTCAAAATTCCCATTTTTTTTTTCTTGACAATCGCATGTAAACCTTAACATTTGCACTAAAATCCTTATCCAGAAAAACCTTCTTTTCTATTATCAAAATTTTGTATTTGTTGCTGTCTTACTTAAGAAGCTTTAATTGAACATAAGTACAACGTTGTCAAGGTTCACATGCAACAAAATTTAGATCAAACACCAAACCGAATAACACAAATTTAAAGAAATGGGGGATGAATAATTTACCTGATAAAGACGAGCAAATTTGTCTTTCTATTCAACAATTTTGCTGACAGCAAGACCCGAATTCTCCAAGAGTTTCCTCCAAGCTTTTTTATCTCAATAAAAATACCATCTTCAGAGAATGGTTGTGTCTTCTCATCTAACAAAACAAAACTATCGTCAAAATAAACATCATCATCATCGTTTGTGTCGGATGAGGTGGCATCAGAGTTAAAACAAAAAAGGGCAGGGAGTTGAGAAGGAAAGTGAGGTGGTGGTTTTGTTGGTGAATGATGGGTTGTGAAGAAACCGTGTGGTGGTGGGGAAACGGGCGAGTGCAATGTTGGTAACAGCAGCAAGTGAGGGTGGACATGGATAGCCGGGCATGCTTTGTCTAGATTAACTGAAAGGCCAGAGCCCATTAGTCGCTTCTTTTCAAGAGCAGCAGCGTTTCGAGAGAATTGTTACTCATGACCCAATGATTTAGGCCAATCGGGCTTCCAATTTTACAAAAAAGAAAGAAAATTTGTTCAAAGATTAAAACTGAACAACAAAAAAAGCCTATGACATAAATTTGTTGAAGTAGAAGATTAATTAAATGCTCACCCCGAATATCTCTAACATAATTTTATATTTTTTAAATTCAATTGTATATATCTTGTAATAATCTTAGTATAAATGCAAAACAATACTACACAACGGCCACCAAAACTTCCATTCTTCAATTCAATTCTATTGAAGATATGACTTTAATAAAATAAAAAATTCAGCTTAGTTTTTGGCATGCAAATATTAATGAAAAGGAAAATACAAGATGATTATATGGATCGGTGACCCTTCAAAACCATCTTGAAATTAAAAGGGTCCTCATATCTCTAATGTCGGGTCTCTTTTTTTTTTCTTACAAGTCTCTCAAACGCCAAGCCCAAACAAAGGAATAAGAGAAGTTGGGCGTGAGCCGTGCGGCGGATATATTAAAGATTTTGTCGGTGAATACAATGTGCAAATCTAACCGCCCGTTACCCACAACAACACCAACCCAAGTACCCAACTACCAACCTGTACATCTCTTTGTTTTTTAATCATAGTTTGTGCAACCCGAGACCCAGAGAGCGTGACAGGCTTTATGTAAATAAACTTTTTCTTTTTTAAGTCTTTTACTTTACTGCTGGACGCCCCATAACAGAGTACTTTCCTCCATTCAACGACGAAAAAATGGCCTCCGGTTTCTCATTGCAGATGGTCCAAAGCCCTCACCTCACTTTCCAGGTTAGATTTGTTGGAAGATTTTACTTCAACATCTTCTCTCATTGTCTTTGACTTCTCTTTCATTATTTCCCAATCCACAGGGTCAAGATGTTTCAAATGCGCATAGGCTACATATGATAAATTCATGGTCAGGTTACTCCCAAACTCGAACTTTGAACTCACCTGGAAGAGCCTTAACATTGAAATTAAACTATGTATCAAGTTTCCCTGTTACCCAACTTTCTAAATCTCCTTCCTTTAAATACCGGAGAATGGTGTGCAACTCCATGGCAAATGTAAGTACTTCATTATTTGTTCCTGTAAAATGGATAAGTAATACGTCTGAAAATATGTAATTTGAAGTCTATTGGTTGACGTTTGGTTTAATGTTCGCTGTTCAGAATCTTACACGTAATTGGAATTTGTTTAGGATGTAGAGTTGCAAGCAAAAGTGACAACCAAGTGTTTCTTTGATGTTGAAATTGGTGGTGAACCTGTTGGTAGAATTGTGATGGGCCTTTTTGGGGATGTTGTTCCAAGAACTGTTGAGAACTTCCGTGCCCTCTGCACAGGCAAGCTAGGCTAAGACTTCTACATTCACTCTTTTTAAGGCACTTTTATTCTTGTTTCCCTGGTGTTTTCTTTATTAGATCAACATTTGTTTTTTGTTGCAGGAGAGAACGGGTATGGTTACAAAGGATGCTCATTTCACCGCATTATTAAAGATTTCATGATCCAGGGTGGTGATTTTACTAATGGAAATGTAAACCCTCTCTTTCTCCTCCTCTGGCTTTCTAAAGATATATTAGTACCTTTTAAGAAAGAACTTTCCATTGCAAAGTAGAAAACTGGTGCATTTGCTGGCTGCAGGGAACTGGTGGAATCAGTATTTATGGATCCAGGTTTGAAGATGAGAGCTTGGCCTGTAAGTTGTGCTCTCTCTGATACGAAGAGCATGCAAAATTCAAATTTTGGGTGTTTATGTTTGGGGTTGTTAGGTTAGGTGATATCTGTAATGAATTGCTAGCGTGGTTCTGATAATTTGAGGTTGTTATCTGCAGTGAAGCATGTTGGACCCGGAGTATTAAGCATGGCCAATGCAGGTCCTAATACAAATGGAAGCCAATTCTTTATTTGCACAGTAAAGGTGAGGTAGCTGCTGCTGCGTTATTCTTTTTTGTAGATTATTTATCTCATTGCCCTATTCCAATTTGATATCATGTTAAGGATAATTTCACCATTATATTTATTGGAATTCGTGTTTTTATGATAGTCTTTAAGAACCAAAAAGGTATAAATGTTTATTAGAAGAGTAGATTTTGCTTTGTGTTTGGAATTATATCTTATTAATTATAAACTTTGAGTTGAATATCTATTATACTTGTGCATAATCTGCTTATCGCTGAATGCTGACTGGTGCTGCTGATATTTTTGGCTAATTAATCATGCTAGCTAATGACTTGCAAATTGTAAATATTCATACACACAATTTTCTTGCTTAAGTAGGTTATTTTTTGGTTCAAAATTTGTTTTCATTATGTTTGTGTTTTACAGACTCCATGGCTGGATAATCGGCATGTTGTTTTTGGACATGTGATTGATGGAATGGATGTTGTGCGTGAACTAGAATCCCAAGAGACAAGCAGGTCAGATAGCCCTCGGTTGCCATGCAGAATTGTTAATTGTGGGGAGCTACCAATTGAGGGCTAATATCCTGTTCATGTAACCACAAGCATTAAATAATATTTTAGTGATGCTTTTTCTGCTGCAAGGTGTTTTTACTCGATAATATGTATAACAGTTAGCCTTAATTACAGGTGAGAGAATTTTGGATGATACACTGTAAGCTCTTGGCGGGGATGTGCTATTGTGCTTAATCATTTTTAGGGTGAAAGCTTGCAGATTCTATCAAAACTCTACTCTTAATGGAGCATCTGATTTTACTAATTTTGATCTATTTCCTTCCAATTGGCTTTTATCCCCATAAATTTGGGTTTAGTACATGAAATCTTAAAGATACATGAACATTTCTTATATTCTAAGTAGATGTGGATATTAGTGAGCTTCAGTCATTTATTTAATAAACTTAAGATGAATACTTCCCATGTATATAATATAACAAGGACAGTCTCCCTTCAAAACCAGTAAGTTTCAACTTGAAGTGAAATCTATGCAAGGACCACGGTTTCAACCGCAGCAGATTGGATAACTTGTTCCATCTGCTCCTCTCTACCGTCCCATATCTCAGGTATTGCTTCTTTGATATTGTGGATGCCGCGCAAGGCATAATCTGCACCTGGCACCAATACCGAGCTCCCCACCTGCCATCATTATTCTCGCATGTTAGCTATAGAATGCTGAACTGTGTTAATGGTAGCAGAGAGTACGGATGATTTATGCTTATGTTATGCTTCTTTATGTATAGCCATTCAAGATGGTGTTACTTTTCAGAGCTTTAATCAATTAATCTGTTATATTCGTTTGGGCAGGTTTATAGGTGCTGCGATTCAAAACGAAATTATAGCTTACTATAACCGTGTGGAGCCCTGCTACTTTTCCACTTGCAATGTTTCGAGCACTATCATCAAAGAAAATCTGGAAAAAGAAAGAAAGAAGGGCGATCCATGAATCCATGAATCATTTATATCATACTAAGGGGATAGAGGGAAAAATTGTGTTCAAAGTCTACCGTTTTCTTTGGATCGACATTTGCAATCCGAATAGCAGCTTCAAAAGCTTCCAATGAGGGTTTGCACAGAACAGGTGACTTGGAACTGACACTGCTGGCATCAGTTCTGTTAGCAGTGTTGGGCTCTTCGTCACCTCCAGCAAGAACTTGATTATCATCTAATGCATCCAGGAAATCAGCTGGTTCAAGAGGAGGGTTAAGAGTTTCGAAGCATACAATGCCTTCAAAACAATCTTCCAAGCCAATTCTTTTCAGAACTTGTCTTGCATGTGCCTTGTCAGCATTAGTGAAGATCTGAAAACAACAAGAAACATCTTAGAACAGCCAATATATAGTGTGTTTTCTCAATGAACTTTTTTCTGGATTTCACTTACTATTTTCCGCTGTGGCATGGAAAGCAGAAGGTTTCTCAACACCGGATCAGGCCTCAATGTTTCGTATGGCAATCTTCCATGAACATATTCATGAAACTCATCGTTGTCAAATTCATAACCAAGAGCCTGAAAAATCGGCATTTGTGACTCAAATTTTCAGATGCACGCAAAGTAAAATGCATTTCATATAAAAAAGGAAAACATAAGAGCTAAAAGGAAAAAAAGCAGGGAATTTAGGACAAGATAAACTCTCATTCACCTTCAATCCAGCCATTGTTGTTCCATATTCCCTGTATAATTCCAAGCACATCCTTGGTACTTCACTTTCTTCAATATTCAGGTATTGCAGCATGAATTCTACAATTAAAACAAGTCAAATTGCTGATATCATAATTATAACAAACAAAAACACAAATAATCATGTTTACTTTTTTTGGGTCATACCTTCTATATTCTTGCGGCAAGCCAAATTGACACCTGTACTCAAGGGGTATAGGGTATCATCCATGTCTGTAAATCATAATCGAAAACCCCATAAATCAGAAATAGTTCTAAAAGCAGCAGCTATATCACATGATTTTGTTCTTAATGAAGAGATTAATTGTGCTATAACATACCAAAGAGCAAGCATTCATATTTAGCTCCACTGGCCCTCCCAACAGCGTCCATGTTCATGAATGTACCTGTAAGAAAGTTCCCCCAGACAATGCCAGGATAAGCGTAACCCTGCAGTTATATGCACATTAGCAGTAAAGTTCTATTGATTTCCTAAATTTTAAGCAGACGAAAAACACTGAATTCAAAGAACCTTAGTGATATAATGAGATAAAAGAATCTGAGAGAAACCTAATAAACCCATCAAGAAGAGCTATGGAAGAGCAAAGATTAAGAGTTTAGAGCTTGATAAAGACAAGAAAACCTTGTGTCTTCATTTTGAAAATGACAGCATATTCAGAAAATTCCACTTAAATTATGATGAAAGCAAGGCAATTCTGTCAATATTAACCACATAAGCCGAGAGAGAACAGTCTAAAACACTTCCAGAAGAAAACAACCTACAAGAAAACATTTAAAAAATAATAGTGCCATACCTAGACCAGTAGAATGAATGAAACAGTTCTGATGCACGATCCAGTAGTGGCTGATGGGGCCTATTTATATGAACTCAAAGATGAGCCATTCCATTTGAATGATGTATTGATGTGTGAGATTGATGCTGAAATGGCTCAGGTGGGAAGCATATTTATTTTCTTTGTTTTAGTATGATCATGAATCACTCATCAAATTTTTTTTTAAAAAAAAGTATGATTCTGAATTGTTAGTCACCCTTAGTTCTGTCACCTGTCATTTTCTGTGATTGTAGCTGCTTTAGTTAGAAATCTGTCACCCCACCCTCCAATACAAAATGTACTCATTTTTGGACCCCATATAAAGTAAAATTCCGAGTGTTCCAATGCATGTTGGCCACTTCTTATCTTTGTAGATGATGCGTGCTTTGCATTGCATTTCGCAGAATGAGAATACGGGGAGCCTTTTTTTTTTTTAATTTTTATTCTGTAAGGAGGCTTACGAGTGGCTTCAAGTTGGTCTCTGGAATCTTGGAATACAGAATATGAGTGAAGGGGCTAGCTACATATAAATGGGGTTTGAAGATGAGTAATATTCCTTTCAATGGTATACATATAGAATAAAATCTTTTCGGCAAATATCCACTTATCAAATTTAATACGAGGAAATGGCATTATATACTGGTCTAGCTATTCTTTAGTCCTTGTGCAATTTGCTTATTTGTTTTCCTCTCCATTGATTTCAACCAGGGCAAATGGGGCACTCATCACGTGGATCTGAAAGCAAAAATCTGCTTGACCTATAAGATGGATAAGTGAGCTGAATCTACCAGTTGGCATGATGAATAGAAAGGGGATAAAACCAAATGAGAAAAGACAATTGAATTCCTCAACCAAGTACAACATGCTTAAATGTGGATTCGGGGGCTCCAAGCTAGACTTTTTGCCCCTAGGGAACTCTGCATCAGTGGAAGGAAAATGAAGAACTGATGGAAATATTGATCAACCTATGTAAACTATACACTCATTACTTAAACTAAAGCCAACTCCTGGACGAGTGTCAAAGCATTGCCATACTCAAGTATGCTACAGCACTTGAGTTGATTCGCTAAAAGCAAAGCATATACTTATCTTACTGCTATTTGGTGTGCCCTTTATTCAGGCAACCCATCTCTGGTCCCAAGAGTTGTAATATCTTAGCAGATAAGGGCATAATCCAGGCAATGGTGCTAAAAAGGGAAAAAAAGAAAAAACAAATCAAAGAGAAAAAGAGTATATATCATGAATATTTGTGGGTTGTCATTGAAGCATATTCCTGCATTGTTGTGGAAGAGATGGGACATGAACCCCATGTTATGTAGATTTTGCAAATGTTGATTTTCTCTCAAATCCTTAGTTTTTTCATGTGATATTTGAAGAGTTTATATGCCACTCCTTTTTGTTAATGGTTAGTGGTTGACCAAAAAGTTAACCACAGGGCAATTGAACATATGAATGGCTACACAATTGTGGAGAGGGAAAAAAACTACTAGAAAGAATCCTTTGATCAGCTCTCCTCACCAAATTAGCACTAATACACATCATCATACATTAATCCTAACTGATTATTTTTAATCTTTTGGATTACTATTGGAATTCAAACCCAATATTTTCATCCTAGGATCGATTCCAATTATATTGAGCTAATTTGTATCCCATATGAAACTTTTAAGTAACAAAAAGTAGACCCTGAGACCAACAAAGTTCGAAATCAGTACTCTTCTTTTCCATCCATTTTCTTCAGGCCTCGGGCTAAGGCTAGCCCATGAAGACTGGAAATAAATGTCAAACATGTTTGGGCTGTTTGGGCCATTCCATCCTAAAACAAATAGCCACAAGCCAGCCTCCACGTCTCCAACCCTGCTTACTTCCCAATTTCATGGACATGAAAAAGCCCACGTTGCCCTAAAATGGTCGAACCCTCGGTTTAGGACACATCATTTTTCCATTCAAATTCAAACCCCACGCTCTCTTCGAGCTTACTGCCGTTTTTTGTTTTGGCCAGAATGCTTTGCAAAGAGCACGAATGGAGTTTTTCACTAGATTAGGGATTAGGGAGCGCAACCTTTTTTGGAGAAAATAAATGATATTTTGAATTAAGCGCGCCATGAGTTCTTTGAATCAGCTGGGGAGGCTCGTGAATGGTCTCTCCTTAATCGCAAAAGAGATCGCCAAACGCTCCCAAACGATCGAGAGCGTCAAAAATGGCGATCTCGAAACCCTAATCGCTTCATCTGTCAAAAACGCTTTAGTCTCGGCTACGGACCTAGCGGGCCTAACTAAAGGGAAGGTCCGCGAGTTCTCCAAGCCCTGTCCCAACGAATCCGTCGTCTACTTCAACAGCAACAATGATGGGAGCCAGGCCAATGCAAATTCTTCCTCGAACGATGTCGCCCGGGCGAGCCCTAACCTTGATGAATCAATCAATTGCGGTAAAGGTGTTAGTAGTAATGATCAACCAGTTATTGAAGTGAAGGTTGGTAATGATGGATTAGGTACAGAAAGTGAGTCCAATTTGGACAATAAGCGCGATGTTGAAGGCGGCGAAGGCGCAGCAATGGCGGAAGAGGCGCCAGTAGCTGTGAAGAGACGGAGGCCAAGGGAAAGAAAAGTTCCTGCTACTCCATTTTCTAGAGCATTTGGGTAAGCTCTTTTTTAATGTTTTAGTTATGTGGCTATTGCAAAATTGTTCTATTATTTGCTATTTTGCTAACTAGTGCTTTTTATAACATCCAAAGCTTTGCTGCATTAGGAGCTGGTCTTGCTTGGGGAACAGTTCAGGAATCTGCCAAGAGGCTTGTTTATGGATCACCAAACACAAACGACAAGCAATCTGCAGTTTCACCGTTCTTGTCTGAAAAAAATGCAGAAAGATTGGCCCTTGCGTTATGTAGGATGCGTGGCGCAGCTCTTAAAATCGGGCAGATGTTGAGCATACAGGATGAATCCCTTGTTCCGGCTCCGGTATGCTAATTTATATTTTATGCTCTATATGTTAGAATGGTGTTTTATGAATGTAATTTGATAGTGGGATGCTTTGTTCATTTTAGAAGAGGTATTTTCATGGTTCTTTTCTTAGAATCAGTTAAGAAGATATGATGCAGGAGGTTATTGTTTATAATTTTTTTGACGAAGATTACTTTCCCTCAAGACTTTGTACAGTGGCTAAATCTTACATTTAACTTCTTTCATTTTCTTTAGATCTTGGCTGCTCTGGATATTGTGCGTCAAGGCGCAGATGTGATGCCAAGGGGCCAGCTCAATCAAGTTTTGGATGCTGAACTAGGCGCTGGTTGGTCTTCAAAGTTGACTAGCTTTGATTATGAACCCATGGCTGCTGCAAGTATAGGCCAGGTGAAGCAAAATGGCTGCATGTTTATTCCGTTGTGACACTGTCTAGGATTTTCCCTATATGTTAAGGTGGCGCACTAGCATATTTCTTTGTCTATTTCTTGCTTATTTTATTGATCATGCTACCGGGAGTCTTTATGTATACAAGCTTTTGATCTAGATTTGAGCATCTTAATATCAATTACTCATTATTATTTCTAGCATTGATGTTTTTTGGTCAGAATGGATCATTCTGTAAAGCTCTGGGATTTGTCTTCTTTTCAACATTCATTTTTAGTTTACTAGTGTTTTATGTGCTCATTTATTGCTTTGCACATTTAACTTGTCCCTGTCTGTTTAATGCCAGTTACTAGTGGTTTCCTTTTTGTATGCATGAAATTCGGTTCTTAATTTTTGCTTTCCTTACCTATTGATTTTTCTCTCCTTACCATGAACCACCTGTGTTTGATCATTTCAAAGTAAATATTATGCTCAATAAGGTGATTTGGATGAAACAACTGTCGTCCTGTTCCAATGTCCTTTTATATCATTTTAATGGTTACCTATCCTAAACTTATAGTTTGTGAATGATTGTAGGTTCACCGAGCTGTTACAAAGGATGGTATGGATGTAGCAATGAAAATTCAGTACCCTGGTGTGGCAGATAGCATTGAGAGTGATATTGAGAATGTAAAACTTCTGCTAGATTATACAAATCTAATTCCTAAAGGACTCTATCTTGACAGAGCAATGAAGGTATGTAGTTATGCATTTATGAACTTGCATTATTCAGTGTCTAAGTATTCTTATTTGACATACTAAGTGAATGGTTAGCCTTCCAAGCCAGTTTAATGATGGACGCATATAGATATAGTTGACAAAGCTATTTGGACCGCCCCAGCATATTACTAGAATATCTTTCTCCTATGACTGTTTGATCTTTCTAATGCACCTTTTTCCTGCTTCTAATGTGTACTCTTCCCATGCTTCAAAATGATTGCATAGTCCTGTATTGGATGCTAGAGAATGTAAGTTAAGTTATTGGAGGATGTTGTCTGGGCTCCTGACAACTGAAGATTCTGTGTTCAGGAATTGGATGTTTATGTCGTCCCTTGAATTCTTGCAGGTTGCTAAAGAAGAATTATCTCGTGAATGTGACTATCAGTTGGAGGCGTCCAATCAGAAACGATTTCGTGATCTGCTATGTGGCCAAGAGGGATTTTATGTTCCACTTGTTGTGGATGATATTTCACACAAAAGAGTTTTAACAACAGAACTTGTTTCCGGTAATTATGTGGTCTTTTAGGTTTTTATTTTTCTTAAAGCATTAGGTATAGATAGTATGGTGCCATGTTCTCTAAGTATTAAAGGACAATTTGCAACTGTGTGAAAAGAAGATATTTTAACTGGAATTTCTGATAGATCAAGGTGCATAAATGTGATTCGGTACTCTAAAACAGTTTCCAGTTAACAAAGTTGATAGAATTATTTTGTGAGTTCTATTAGTTCAGTTTGAATATATTATTTACTCGCTATAGGAGTTCCAATCGACAAGGTTGCATTACTAAACCAGGGAACTCGTAATTATGTTGGGAGAAAGTTGCTGCAACTGACATTAATGGAGCTTTTTGTGTTCTGCTTCATGCAGGTGTGCGTTCTTTAATTTCTTTTAGCTTTTTTGGGAGGCTATTGTATTGTGTTTCTCTATCTTGCCTACTCTTTAGAAAGCATTTAAATTCCTGAAGATTATTTATGCTTTGCCATCTAAGGGTTAAGTTTACTTTTAAATATAATGAAATGTTTTGGTTTGTGTATTTCTCAAAATTTTATCTAAGCCTGAGGCAATCTATTCAAGAAGAAATTTGACTTTTCTTTTTAGAAAACTATGTAGATCTATGTTTTTTGCCCTTTCTCTTAGGTTGCTTCTTCATATTCTTTTAAACTTCTGCATTATTTCATTTTAGAAGTCTTGTTGAAGAAGTCATGTTCTTTCTTTTGTATTAAACATTGTGTTTGTTCTGATGCAGACTGACCCTAATTGGAGTAATTTCTTATATGATGAGGCCACCAAAACAATCAATCTCATTGACTTTGGAGCAGCTCGAGATTATCGTAAACGTTTTGTTGATGACTATTTGAGAATGGTCAGTTCCCTTCCAAAGTGCTTGTGGCATCAATTGTTTTTCTGCATGAATGGCACGATTTGCTGTTGCCATTTAAGCTGAAAAACCAACCATTCTTATGGCTTGGACCTTTATGGATATATTTTTCTCTTTTAGAGATTTCCTGCATAAACCTCTATTAACATAGTTTGATCTTTAAAGTGACTTAGCTTTTAGCTTATTAATGTTGCGAGATGTCTAACCTTGTGCTGCAATTATTTGTTGAACACTGTTGAATTTGGCATCTTCGGATCTGATTTTTCTACCATATGAACTGAAGGATTCCTTGTATATTTGACCAGGTTATGGCTTGCGCAAATAATGACAGAGAGGCAGTTATCGAGATGTCACAGAGACTCGGGTTCCTCACGGGGATGGAATCAGAGGTAATGCTGGAGGCTCATGTTCAGGCTGGTTTTGTTGTGGGATTGCCATTCTCAAAGCCCGGTGGCTATGACTTCCGATCAACTAATATTACTCAAAGCATTTCAAACCTCGGGGCAACAATGCTGAGGCACAGGCTTACACCACCTCCTGATGAGGCTTACAGTCTCCATCGGAAACTGTCAGGTGCTTTCTTGGCTTGCATTAAGCTGGGGGCTGTTGTGCCGTGCAGAGAACTGTTACTGGAAATCTATGAGCACTATCATTTTGGTGAAGATGGGGAGATCTTATCAAGTGCTTCAGTATCTTGATGGGATTATTTCTTTTCTTGTTCCCTCCTTTTTGTTTCCAAATTTTGATTATTTTTTCACAAGTGTAATAATAATTTAGGGATGCAATTGGCCAAGTGCCCTTCCCATCAAAATATGAATTTGTAGCATATAATTGAAACAACGGAGCAGGAATTCAGCCCAAAATTTAGCTTTTTAGTTCTTTCTTATATTCTAAAGCTAAAATCCTGCCAACTTAAGTTCAACATCAATAAACCCAGTTGGTTACATATTGAAATTTGATGATATTCCAATAGTAATTTTATTGGCAAATGACAGGAAAAAAAAAGTAAAAAGAACAAACACACCTTGTATTTCACCGTAGCCAAAAAGGGGAATTCCCTGGATTTGATCTTCTCGTCAATTTACAGGAAAGAATGATTAGTTGAATAAAATTTTCTTCTTTATTCATTTATCCAGAAAGAAATAAATAAACCCAATACTATAATGTTGGAAATATTCAAATAAAATTGAAGCGCAATTACTGGAAGGCGGATTATCCCCTTATTTAGGGCGTATGTCAAATGACTTCACGATCGTCATTCATAGCACAACACTATGTCACAGTATGTACTGTGTGGGTTGTGAACTGGTGACAACTACACGAGCTATATCATGGTATGTGGGTCGGTGCTCGTATCCCAATACTAAATCAAGTAACAGACCCGTTTCAAACCAACAGGCACTTTTTTTTTAACAACAAACGAACATTCTCTTTCTTTTTTTATTTTGTAATTTAAAAAAACCACATATACACACTCTCCTTTTTATTACTGCTAATTGTTTTGTCTGCTTTGCCCACGTACCTGAATACATTTCATTTATCTCTTCCTTCCAATTCAAATCCCAAAAATTTCAAAGGAAAGAAGATTGAATTGGAAGAAGGCAGACCCTTTAAAAGGGAAAAATGTTGGACGGCTGCGTTTGTTTTGCATAAATCAATTTCAGAAATTTATTTTCTGAAAAATGTTGATATTTTCCGGAAAAAGATAAAGGTTCCACTTTCACAGTCCTAGGCAGAAAATAGGTTTCTTGTTGGTGGATAGGAGAGAAAAGACAGGAGAACAAAAAAAAAATGAAGGGGGTTTTGATATGGGTTTTGAGATTGTGGAGTGTAGTTGGTATCGGTTTGAGCCGATCTGAATATGGGTTGGAAGAACTGAAAGCTAAAGAGAGTTTGCTTTCGTACTTGGAGAAAGATGCAGTGTCCTCTGATGCCAACTCTCTCATGGTTCCCCTCACTCTCATTCAAGGAGCTGCTTCGAAAGGAGCTGGTAATTTAGAAATAGATCATTTTAATTCTTGTATTTTAGGACTGCCCTGAAAGTCTGATTCTTGATTCATGTTGAGATGCTAAATTCTCATCTCTCTCTCTCTCTCTCTCTCTCTCTCTCTCTCTTTTTCCTTTTGATGCGTTCGGTCACAGTTTGTTTGGATGGGACGCCTCCTGGTTATCATCTGGATCGTGGGTTGGCGTCAGGTGCAAACAGCTGGCTCATTCAATTGGAGGTTCGGTTAACAGACTTTGATAATGCATTTAATACGTTTTTAGCACTTTATGATTGTAATGAATATTGATTTTAATCCTTTTTGTCTTGGATTCTAAAGTCATTTCATGTTTCCTATGTCAAGATAGAACACTTTATCGGTTTCATTTACTCTTGATAGTTGATAATTTTCTATGTAGCTGATTTTAGTCACATTGCTGGATTTGATCTTTGTTTTTAGGGAGGTGGATGGTGTACTGACATTCGAACTTGTGTCTCCCGCAAAACTACTCGACGTGGTTCATCAAAATTTATGGAGAGGCAAATAAATTTCACTGGAATATTAAGCAATAAAGCTGAAGAAAATCCTGGTTTGTATAATTTTTAGTTCATTTTTTATTTTTGGACCAGTATTTATACAGCATTTCTTCATAAAAATTTTGAATGTGACCTCTTGCGTCCTGCAGATTTCTACAACTGGAATAGAGTCAAGCTACGTTATTGTGATGGGGCATCTTTTGCTGGGGAGGGCCAGAATGAGGTTAGGAGAGTCCTTTTAACCCTTTGCATTTCCCTGAACTGTTACTCATGACACGAATAGCCTATTCAGTGAAAGTGTTAGTCAAGTTTGCTTTACCTATATATTAATGGTCAAGTTTGATTTACTAAATGCTTATTTCGGATTCATCTACCCTTACGCCTACTATTATTTTCTCATTTTCCCTTCACTCTCTTCAATGATTTAAAACTGTTAGAAATTTACTTGATGTCGTATTGAAACCCTACTCTAAATAAACAAGTATTTTTTTTTTGGGGGGGGGGTGTGGGGGAGGGGCTAAAAATAACATGTTTAGTTCTTTAAGACTAGACTCTGTTTTAGAACAGATTGTTTCTCTTCTCTAGGATATATTCTATAGAATTTTTACTTTCATTATCTGTTGAAGTATTTATGGTATTCAGTGATTTTACTTTCAGGCTAACCAACTTTATTTTAGAGGACAAAGGATCTGGTCAGCTGCTATGGAAGAATTAATGGCTAATGGAATGCAGAATGCTGAGCAGGTTTTGTATCTAGCATGTTTCATTTTAGTTTTCAATTTGGTTTTGGATATCTAATATATGTTAAAATTGATTGTGTTTTAGGCTCTTCTTTCCGGATGCTCAGCTGGGGGTCTAGCATCCATTCTTCATTGTGATGAATTTAAGTATTTATTTCCCAAAACAACCAAAGTGAAATGTCTGAGTGATGCAGGCCTGTTCCTTGATGCGTAATGAACTTTACTCCATTCCCTCCTTTTTGGTTAGAGTAGGTTCTCTTCAATTAAAAAAATATAATCTTAATTAATGGTTTTCATTATTATGCAGAACTAATGTGGCTGGTGGCCATACCTTAAGGGATATGTATGGTGGTGTGGTTACCTTACAGGTACTACTTATGCTCCTTTAGGTTTCTGTGGTGGTCAAAACTTAATTAATAAGTAAGGTTTCGTGTCTAAACGTCAGAAGGCCAAGTAAGTTTCACTTTTAGTTGCTTCATTGCTCTTGAGCTGAGGTCCCTGAGCTATATATTAATAGTTTGTGTCACTAACCTTCTAAGATAAATCTTGGTCCTCAAGAAAGAAAAGCTAGTGCTGTTATGCGTAATCAACCTGTCATTGTCATGAAATCTTTTCTTATTGCTTTCTGCTCACTAAAATAAAATTTCTATGAAATCTTAGGGTGTGCAAAAGAATTTGCCAAATACTTGTACCAGTCAAATGGATCCAACTTCGGTAAATGTCTCTGCTTTCTTGATTGGCATTCATGTACTAGATTAGGCTAAGAGAGTAGATGTAACTCATTAGAAAACCCATAATTCTATCTTTCATTCGCAGTGCTTCTTCCCTCAAAACTTGATTGCAAATATCAAGACCCCTATGTTTCTTCTCAATGCAGCCTATGATGCATGGCAGGTAATATTCCTCTTTTTGCTACTTTCCTTCTTTTTCTTCTTTTCTCTTCCTCATCTTGTTTTCATTTCTTCTTTTTTTTTTTTTTCAAATGATAATCCATATGTCTACCCAGAAACATATCATAGACAAGAATTCATACTGCTAAACTTCAACACCTCCTCAAGGCAGTTGTCAACAGATTGAAACTTTGGGATTGCCTGGAGAGGTCATTGTTGGGTCCTGTCCTGCATTGGTTTATCTATGACAACAATTTTTGAACCTATATATATATATATATATATATATTGAACCTTAATATGTATATATAGGCCTACTCGAAAAGATTGCCTTATCACTTAGATGACCTTTTTAACACCAAATAACTTGGATTAAATCTCTAATTTCTGTTTTCAGGTCCAAGAGAGTTTAATTCCATCATCTGCTGATCCTCACGGCTACTGGAATGATTGCAAAATGGATCGTTCTCATTGTAACTCATCACAGATGCAATTTCTGCAAGGTGATTTTCATGTTTGTTTTCTGTTATGTTTTGATTCAAATTTTTGTACTGTCAAATGGCAAATGAATTGCATGTGAATGTTCTTTTCTTCTTTCTTACGTTGAAGCAGACTTCAGGAATCAAATGCTCGATGCCGTAAATGTTTTCTCAATGTCCGATCAAAATGGTTTATTCATAAATTCTTGTTTTGCTCACTGCCAGTCAGAGAGACAGGATACATGGTATGGGAATGATTCTCCTCGTATTGGAAGCAAGGTATGTCCCATCTATGTTAAAGTTCTTGCAGCAGCTGCAGATAAATGTGATAAAAATTTCCATCTTCTGAATTTCCTAGAGAACTATACCTCATTTAGCACTTTATTTTTGCGGTGGAATTAACATAAAACTCCATAACTTAATTCCATACTTTATGCTCAAATGCTTGCTAAGGCTTGAATATAAAGTTGCAAATAGATTCTCTGTCTGCATGTATGGTCAGAATTTATAAGAGTATCTTTTTCGTTATTGATATGCAGGCAATTGCAGTGTCTGTTGGAGACTGGTTCTTTGATCGAACAGCTGTTAAAGCTATTGACTGTCCTTACCCCTGTGACAATACCTGTCACGATCTTGTCTTCAAGTGAGTGAGAACTTCTCATTGACTGTCTGTTGATGCCTGTTTGGCTTCCATTTTATTCTTTCACCAATTGCCATTTATGGAAACTGTTACATTCATATGTTGTGATAATAAAGTGATAAGCTATGGGATTTCTAGGTTATTCAAATCACAGTGATTAGCATTATCATCTCTTTTTTTTTAATATCATTTATAAGCAATACAATGTCTCTAAAGACCTTTGATATCCTCACGCTCAAGCTGAGCAGAAAGATACAATACATTTTATATCTTTTATTTGAGATTTAAGAAGGCTAAACTCATAGAACCCTCACTATGCATACTTCTATTGCCAACCGCCACCTTCACATTATTTCTGTTTCATACTTTCTAATTTATCCCTAGGACCACAAAGTATGCCCAAAATTTCCAAGAAAAAGTTTACCAAAAGTGGGACATAAAGGCTAATACTTGCAATTTTGTTGTTGTTATAGTGACATTTTTTGGTCAGAATCATAAAATTGCTATGGTAAAAATATTTGTGAGTAAATTAAGGTGGAATGGATACAGAATATAATGTCTATTTCCACACTGATGTTAGTTATTCAAGTTGAATTTCTCTATGCACCTTAGTTAAAAAATCAAGAGAGGAACCTTGTTAATCTGTCACTTCTATATCTTTAGGGATATATGTTTTTATACTTATAAATAAATCTAGAAAACAGTTGCATGTGAGGCCTTGTTTAATGGTAAAAGGATGGGATTGATGCCCTTGGAGGTCCTAGTTCAAATCCTCCCACCCCCATGTGGGTGAGTGCATTATTGTAATATATATATATATATATATATATATAGATAGATAGATAGCTTCTTGGCTTTCAGTATACCTTATGCACCCTTTTCTGGATTTCCTCTCTCCACGTCGACTGTTGGACTGAAATTAACATCTTCCTCTGCAGTGATGTTACTTCAACCATAACGATCTCTCGGTCCACAAGGTTGAAATTTTCTCTCCTAAATCTGCTTAGTGCCTTCTTGATCTCCTTAATATGTTCCAAATGCACCATGGAGTTTCAATTTGGCCAATGACTAATAATTATAACTTTAAAGTCCACATCCTAGCAGATATGGTGGATCTTTTGCTTGCTACCATTTCAAATCATTCATTCAAAGCACTTCTTTCGTAGCCACTGCATTTCTTTTCTAAAATTCTGTGGTTGCCACAGTTGATGCTGTGGAATGGTTTACCTGTACTCAATCATGTATGTATTAATGATAGCAAGGAAGTGAAGAAAATGAACACTGAGAAGGACATTTATTGGCATCTGCCACCAAATGGGATTGATCCCTTGATTTGCTGTATTTTGGTGTATCATGCAATTTTGAATCAAGTCTATTCCATATTTTTTTTTCAAGTGCTTTTACATTTATTTTGAATTTGTAGGATTTGAGATGTGTGAAACTAAGTAGGTGGGCTGTTTAAACAGCTTACCTGAATAACTGACTATTGTACGAGATTGCTTAATCCAGGCTGGAGGCTTGGTCATCAGTGGGATCTCATGGTAATAATTTCTTTTGGATTGAACTTCATCCAAAAGATAGTGTCTTCCTGATTTTCTTTGGCTGATATATTGCCGTTGTATGTATCAAGCTGCTACATTCTAACATTTGAGCTGTTAGATTTTAGGGCTTCATGCTGTCTCCCTAGTCCTTACCTTGCAAGTTTGGTTGTTATTTCCTGTTAGTTTAACTCTGTTTTGACATACAGTCGCTTATCCCGTTTAATGGTTAATTTAAGCAATGGAAGAAGAGTTCGTAACGTATGCAGGAGACTATGTAGTTTGAAATTCAGAAAGTATAGATTTTAAACAAGCCGAAACAAAGCTGTAGTTAGGCAGTTTTTGCAATATTTTGTGCTGTCCAGTTTTCCTCTAGGATGACTGTACTTATAGTTTTGTGCTTGAGGTGCTTTCTTAATTATTGAGAACCTGATTATTTTACTTTCTCCTAATAATGAACACATGACCAAGGCCTTCTTTTGTTGCTCTGGATATATAAACAATTAAACAAATCATTATTTTGGCGATTTGTGAATTCCGCTTGACTGCTTCCACGCTGGAACCAATACCAAGTTTCCCTGTCTATGTTTTAGGCTTTTGAGTGGGCGCTTATCGATTGGTTTCGTTTGAACAGAGGCTAATTAATAAAAATTCTTTCTGCAAAACAAAGTTTCCAATGCCATTTTTTGGGAACACACTGAAACAAATCTCAATCCGAATGCTGTTCCCGAAACTACCAAAATCATGATTGAAGACTATTGACAGAAAACTGATCAGCAAAGAATACGTGAACTGGAAATATGCTTTTAGCCGCAAGTCAGAAGTCAGAACGATCTGGCTCCTATTCCATCGTGTTATATTTACAAGCGGAAAGCTGTACATAACATGAGCAATCAAAAAAGGTGGCTAAATATATCTAATGCCAACCCCAACAGATAAAAAGGTCAAATAAACCTCTGGAAAAACTTATTTTCTAGGAATCAAGATGAAGAAAGAAAAGCACCAAATCCGTCCCACCAAAGGGATTTCGACGGTGGAAAAAGAAAAATAAAACTGGGAACCAAAAATAGTAGTCGATGATTATAGTTGAGAGTAGATTGTCAGCTGCAATGCCTAGATGTAGATGCAAGTGCCACTGCTTGTGCCCACACCTTGAGCCGAGCTTTGACATCTCTCGGGTCATCACCTAAATTACAGAGTAAACAAAGCCCTTTATATTAAGTAAACAATCGTGAATGACCAACAATCAGGCAGAAAAAAAGGGGTCCAAATTAAAGGTAATTCAGAGAGGCTGGCAATATTTTGACTAACCAGGGCTGGAGATACGCCAGTTGGCTATGGGAGAATTGCCACCGCTACTAGTATTATCAAGAGTGGAACCTGACAGGGAAACCCGACTCGGCATCTCTAACATACGCTCATGTTCCAACTCGAACCCCAGATCCCTACACGCCTTCACTTCCTCCAAGTCCATACACAGCGATCTCTTCCCTCCTTTTGGCCTGGTGATCACCACCACACCCGCACTACCCCCTTCACTCTCCCCGCTAAAACTTCCACTATAATTGCTATATCCCGCCAATAAATCCCCATCTTTCTTTTTGCTGCTACTTTTACTTTCCTTATCTGCCCATCTTTCCCTTATAATCCTCCTCTTCCTCAAATTCTTGCTCCCTTTTGGCCTACCAAAACTACCCTTTTGAGCTTCATTTTCACTAGCATAATCTTTGACCACACCCATCAACTGGTGAGACAACTCCCCGGTTCCGTTTCTGCGATGAGGTGGGATGGCAGGAAGAGAGTAACAGCTAGGTTCTTTGTCAGAGTCCGATGACAATTCAAGCAATTCTTTGCCAGAGAACTCTTCATCAACATCTGCATCAAAGCTTTCAATTAACAATCTCGACATGTACATCCCTATTTGATCATCCTCATCTTCGTTCGTGTACATGGAACTAGTACACATGGAAAGCCTAGACAAGCTATGTGTATGAGCCAGAAGGTCATGATCATGATCAAACACAACATCAATATCATCATACTCATCTTCTTGCATAGAAGAAACAACCGTCATACTTTCATCTGATGCCATCTTTTTCTTCTTTTCTTCTTCCTGTGATTTTGCAACTCAGAAAAGAGAATGAAACCAAAAGAGTGAAGAAGATTAAAGAGTTTTTCTTATCGAAGTGATTATTGATTAGCGAGAGAGAAAACAGAAAGAGCGGCTGCACTTAATAACAAGCTATGGCGTTTGGGCTTAACGTGAATCATTCATTCGTTTCTCATTTCATGATAAGGTAAAAGTGTAAACCCAAATCTCTCCTCCAACGACCGTATTTATAGCAAAATTTTCAAACCATTAATTCCAGATATGACAATTTTAGTCCTCGCTTTATATTCACTTCCTTTTCAGCTACCTTGTGGTAGTTGAGAAACAGGGGTGAGATTGTAATTTTGATCTTAAATCAGTTCAATAAGAAGATTCGAACATCTCGGGATCCTTTTGAATAGTTAAAAATGGATTAAGATATATCCACACACGGCAAACATCGAGACAAATGACGTAGAGAATAGGCTGAACAAGGGAGTGTCCCACAGACACCACTCAGATCGACAAGTAGCTTCAGACAAACTTCCCTTGCTGCTAACGACAGTTACACTCTCTGATCCGTCGCTGGGTCACGACTCACTAGGTGTCTACAAGGAAACAAAGATTGAGACCTGCCCGCACGATTACCCAAAATCTAGCCCAGTTTCGGAACATTTTACTGTGTCGTTGTTTTTTTTTTTGCTTCCTTCTCTTGTTTCACGTCCGTTCGATGTTCTACGGTGTTCAACAAACAGTAAATCACTAAAACAGTACGTTTTTGGCTATGTAGGAATGATTTGATTTCTTCTTAAATGTGGGAATGTCCCGATTCGAACTGTATACCTTGGTCATAAGTTGTTCAAACCATATATCTTCATTTACTATATTAGTTTCCAGTTATGATTAAGCAAGTCAAGTTCAACTTTTTGTCCTTGAATGGACGTTCACACTTTGTTTCACAGTGTGTTTCCCGCGTATGCTATTCTTCTAAATGTTGTAATAATCTTACATCATAGTTTAACTATGACTTTGGTGGCATTTTAATGTCAAGTTTTCTAGAATTCCTAAAGAGATTAGAGGCTGACACATGCTTGTATACCACAATAATCACTTTATCTTATGAACTCTGAGTTTTTTTTTTTTTTTTTGGATGTCAAGTGTATTTCTTAAATTAAAATTTATATAAATAATATCTATATATGAAAAATATTCCTTAAGTGGGTTAGTTGTCGACAAGTGTCTACTATTAAATAATGATTCTTTTATCTTTTTTATATTCTATAATAATTCTTTTATTCTTAAAAAATTAATTTAAAATATAAATAATAAAACAATTTTGACAAGTCTTTAATATTGGACAATGACTATTTTATCCCTTTCATATTATATAGTGATCATTTTATCTTTAATAAAAAAATTAAATACTATAAACATTAAAAAAAATAAAATATCCTGAAATTAAAAAAAAAAAAAAGGCCCGTAAGATCAATATCACAACGTTTGAGGTCCGAAAGTTTCACATCTAAGTAACGTTTGACTCTTTAGTTTACGATATAACTAGATAGATAAATAAATAAATATTTAAAAATATTATAAAAAATATATTAATAGATATCGGTAGTTGTCCGGTCGTACCCAAACAATAATATTCCAGAGGAAAATGCACCTAAGATCAAATATTTCGAGCTGACTTTCATGAAAATTTTACTTTTTTTTTTTTTTTTGTATGTTGCGATTACATCAAAACGCAGTTTCATTTTTAGCTAAAAATGATAATAAAAAAATACACAATTCACATAGGAGAAAAATCATAAATTCGAGTTAAATAATAAAAATTTAAATATTTTCTACCTAATTTATTTTGTATATGAATTAAATTTATCAAATTATTAATTTGTAAAAAGAGTAAGATTAAAAAATAATAAATTAATTAAATAATAAAAATAATCATTTAAAAAATAAAACGCAACAGTTTTTTAATAATCAAACAATTAAATAATAAATTATTTAAAATTTTATTTTAATAGAAATTATATTTATTTAACTCATTTGATCATTTGATTTTGATTATTTTTATAAAAAATATATTATAATTAATGAATAAAATGTCTATATTTTTTCAATTATTTTAGTTATTTGAAATCAAAATTTATTTAATAAAAAAAAAAAAAACTTAAACGACCACACACTAATACTAATAAATAATCAAGTAAAATGAATAACGGAAATTTTTTAAAAAATTGGGGTTATCCAAACATTATCCACATTGTAAAACTTTTATGGATCACTAGTTTATTACAAACTCAAAGTCCCAAATTGCCCTCCGAGAGGGTCTCATGGCTAAGAAGGCGTTGATCCCATGGAACACAGTAAGGGATAATTTGGGTAATGGAATAAGCTTATTTGTGGGGTGCTTGGCAGCATCAGGCCCACGAGGTTGTATTTTTATTTGAAGATGATTGAAGATAATGTATGCTACCGCGTTTAAAGGGCCAGATGTCCGCTTTTTTCATCCTTACTAGCTTCAAAACGACAAATCTCCCCTCCCCCCCCCGCCCAACGGTGGATTTTCCAAACAAAACCTTAGGGGCCCACTATGGGGTCCACCCTGTCCACACCCATAACTTGCCAAATAGTATCCCCATCATGGACCCAACGCATCACTTCTGAGTTCTGCAACAGCATGAGCTGTTGCTTTTCCTTTATCTTTTCTTTTTCTTTTCATTTTCATTTAATATTTAATTATTTCTTTTAGCCACGCTTTAAAATTTTTTATTAATAATAATGTTTAGTTAATTCCGCGGAACGGAGAATGTTTACCAGAGCCGCTCACCGACCGTCAATCCTCTGACTAGTCCCTTTTCCTCTTTTTATTTTTTATTTATATTTTGTTTTTAAGCCAGCTTTGTTGATTTCAACGGTAAAAGGATGGCTGATGTGGTGCTGATAGTGACTGTGATGCTTACACGTGTTAAATAGAGCAATTAAAAACATATTTTTTTATTTCTGCCATAGAATAGAATAAAGGCCGACGTGGATGATCGATGATCAAGAGACGTGAGGTGATGAGCATTCATCAGATTTTGTGCGGATAGGATCTAGCCTAGGAGGAGTGAACGCCATTTTGTTGTTTTTGCTCTATGTGAGCCTAATGGCCTCCATGAATTTGATGGCTCATTGCTCAGTTTAACCAGTTTATTGGTGGATTAGATTGTGGCTTCACTTATCAAATATTCATATAATATAAAAATTAGTCAAAGGTTTATTTTTTTTAAAAAAAAAAATTTAGTATAAATTTTTTTAATATAATTAGAATTTGAACACCCATTATGTAGAAGAAAAAAAGTGACTTAAAAAAATAAAAAAATTACTTGATAAAAATTTTAAAATCTAAAATACGTAATTGTTTCTAATATTTTTATTTTATTTAAGTCTTAAGTGATTTTATTAATTGAATTGATATTCGGTTAACTCATGATATTAATTTAATAATGTATTTTAATATAAATAAAGATATATGAAATAATGAAGCTTATTACAATGATCATATGCAAATCTTCTTGGATCCTTATTTTCTTATTCCACATCAAATCTAACGAAAGAATATGATGATGAAACGTTGAATTACTTTAAAAAAAAAAAAACTTATAGAAAGATAAATTAGAGGATGGGTGATGTTCCAATCTTTTACTTACTGTTAGCTTAAGAATCTCAATTATTCACAGAATAATTCTCTTTTTTCGGACTTTTTTTTTTTCTTAAATTCCTTTTTGGAAGGACTAATAAGGGGGAAGATAACTTCCCTTCTAGAGGATTTTCAGAATAAAAAAATAAAATTTCCCTGTTAGAGCAGACCAGGAACAATGTTTTCTGTATATAAGGGCGGAAAAGAGGGAGGAATTTTGCCTACATTAGAAGTGAAACGAGTGACTTGACGTAATGTTCGGATAGGTAGGCAAGGCATTTTCTTCAATGGTTTTATTCCGTCTGTTTTCCTTTCTCTGGTGGAAAGAAATACATTTGAAACAATTAATTATCAATACGAGGCTAACGTCATCTTCGGCAATTTATTTATAAATTTGAATAAAAAAACAAGAAATTGAAATTGCAATAAGTTGGATATTCACATATTGCAAAGACCACTGCTGCAATTCTAAACCATATTACGTTATTACTTGCCGACAATGGATTGATAGCGATAGGCAGTGGGCTCCAAAGCCCTGGGGAGAAAACATTGTTTGGTTAAGGAGGAGAGTCCATTGACGAATATCTATTAATTATTTTTGGTTGATATGGAAAAACTTGACCAAGATTTTCTTCCCCAAGAACCCATGTGATACTGTGTTGTTCATTTCTAAATTAATTTTCTTGGGCCCCCGAGGGGTGGGGAAAGGTAATGTATCAGAATGGTAAAAGGGTGGTGGAATCTAGAATTTGGAATGTGTTATGATTCAACAAATCTTTTCAGTGACGAAAATAACAGCTTTGTCTAGTTAATTGTAAACGGGCTATAATTCCTAACGAGAAACCAAGTCTTGATGTAAATTTAAAGTAGTCACTGTTCGTGTGTGTGTTTTTCATTTGGCCAATGAAATCAATTGCTTAGTGTGGTTTGTGAGAAACAATGCTAACAAAGGGGGTTAAAAATACAGAAGATCAGGGAGAGGTTCAAGAATGATGGAAAAGTCAAGGTCCATGTCACGTGTTCAAGGGGCCCTGGAAAAGAAAACTTTGAGTTAAATTGATGAGTGACGGGAGTAGGTAGAGAGAGTTCTATGTTTCGAGCCGAAAGGGGGAAGAAGATCGTTAGATTTTAAGGTTTGCTTGATAAAAAAAAAGGTTTGCTTGGTAGCTATTTTTTATTTTATAATTTAATCATTAAATTAAAGTTTTCTGTTTTTATTTTTTTCATCATCTGTATCAATCGAAGTTTAAAAGTTACTTGGCAATGTATTGTAGCCTTTCTAAAAGTTTATGTTATATTATAAAACAATAAATATCCTAAGGTTTTTCAATTGTAAAAATTATGAATGGGCGATATATTTTAGCATGTTTCTCCTCATTTGATTCGTTTAAATGCTGTTGGCAGCGTGGACCTGACCTTCACCCATAATTGGTCCAGCTGTTGAGAAAGCTGAGCCAATTACAATTAAAGAATAAATTCTGACTCGAGCTTTGGGAGATGGAGGTAGCCCAATTAGATGAGCCTAGTCCAAAGCTGAATCAACAAAATGCTGCAAGCTCTTGTTACAAAATGTTGCCAACTTGCCATCCCTTCCTATATTTTGTGGAGTATGGAATCGGCCAACTTCAGTTCATGAGAATTCCCAGCTTACTAGGAATGCATTTATTATAGGCCCAGCAAGCTTTGTAGGGCCAACTTGAAGGGCTTAGGAAAGGCCCATCATTGTCTTATTTTGCAGGAAGCCACCCGGCAGCATTTGGATTTTGGACCCTTGCAGAGGCTTCGCCTACGGATGGTTCCTCTGTAAATAGGTTCATGAGCTATTGTATTTTTTTTTCCACTCTTAAAAATCTTTTGAAGTCTACAACTGATTTAAAGACGCATCACATGAAGTCTACATCTACGTCCAAGTTCTCCGATCACCCTCGACGTCCTCTGTTCCACTCCATAACACAACTTTAGCTTATATTGCCAATTAGAACCTTTATTCCCAATATCATGTTACCAACTAAAGGGAGCTCTAGTAATTTTTGTGGAGTGCGCACCTATGCATCAAATGTGGTGAAGAAGATTTTAATAATATTATGAAACAGCAAGTGTAAATGATAAGTTAAATTAAGAAAATAAGATGGTTTTGTTGAGTTTTTTCATATTACTTAGGGACCGACCGTATTGTTTTTTTAGGTTGATCCGGCCTATTGCTCGTTCCTTATACCTATTTCGCTTTAGGAGTTGATTTATAGGCACAGCCTTTATAACTTTAAGATATATTCATGGATTTCTTAACTGCCGCAGTTTCTGTTTTATTAATAGTTTAGCACATTTTGTTGTTACTATGGGTCCTCTTTCCCCTACTTTTACTATCAAAGCAATTAATTGATAGTGTCGAACGAAAACCCAAGCTATTTGTAGATTGTGGTCAACGTTATTGGTTTAAGAATAAATGTCAAAAATTGCAAGTCGCTTTTCTCATATGTCATCATTTTTCATCTTTCATCTCGCAAATTTTCAAAGTGGGTCTGGTTATAGTTTGGTGGTGTTTCCTTTCTCAAAAGTAGTTTCAAGTTTTCTATAGCTAAAGCTAACAGATCAAGATAATATAGAATATTTTTAACTCATCAATCCATGTAAAACTATTTCATGGAAGTTAATCATGCTTACAAGCAAGCACAGGTCAAGCACTCACGCCATAGTTCCACGCACCGATGACCACCAATGTCCTAAATCGTTACAGTAGCTAGAGGCTGGAGTATCATCCCACTACTTTGCTATGTTATTGGGTTTCAGCGAGTGAAGTTGGGCTCGGCTTGACAATGAAACTTGACAGTTCTTTCACAATACCTCAGATTTTTGCAAGTCCCATAATTAGATAAACTTTAAAATTCACCGGTTATTGATAAAAATTAATTACGTTATCAATAATAATAAGTTCCTTAATTTATTTCTGCTGAAGGAACATGATTGATAATAAAGATTTTATTCTTTGATTTATGTTTGAAAATTGATTGGCTGTTTTCATTGCTTGGGGTTTAAGGTACACAGATTTGTTACAATTAATTAGTGCCTTCCTAACTTAGTGAGCGAGGATTAATGCTTATTTTATTGTTGACAACGATATCAAAACCTATTTTAAATTCAACATGAGGATTTGATTTTTATATTCTAACTAACTGGCACTAAAATAATCTTGAAAACTTTCACCCTTTGTAGGCAGTGATTACTTTTGTATTTTGGTGAATATGGTCAAGCAATGTCGTGATTGCAATTCTTAAACTTGAATGCATGAAAACAAGTTCAAAGTTTTCAAGAGTACTCACCAAAGCAAACAGTAGAGTCTAAGTAAAATAAGGTGTCGATTAGTCGGGCTTGTGATTATTTGCTTTAAAAAACAGGGCTGAAAAACTTGTTTCCTGATAACATATACCATTGGCGGCAGGCATCATGGCTTGGGTTTATGTCGTGCCTGTGAACAAGAAAGATGCCCCCTGTGACTCACCCTAACCAGAATTATTGCAGTGGGTCCTTTAAGACAGCTTGGCTTTCAGATGCTTCCAGTTCTCAATGTAAATAAATAATAGTTGTACAATTGAATTGTTTAATGACAGTACATTTGGGTTAAGCTCATTATCTCCAAACTGACATAGATTATATATATATATATATATTCGCATTTTCTTTCATCTTTCCTTGTCCAAACCACATTGGATTTCGAACCATTTAGTCTTAGGTTCCAGAACAAACCAAAAAAAAGAAACTAGTGATTGGACCATAAATGCCCTGCTCTCTTATGAGAGCAGCAAAAAGAGGGTAAATGTTCGACAGTCGAAGATCAAAGGTTCGAACACTTGCGACAGTAATAAACCAAATAAAAAGTTGAAAGTATTCAATGCAAGATGTTGCCAAGTGGATGGTGTCAGATTTATTCGCCATATCAATATTCATTTCTTTTTTGCATTCACTGCACGATTGACTTCTGTCCATCCCTTGAACCGGAAGTTTCATGCTTTATCAAGTGTTTCTTAAGATAATGTTGGTGTCTTAAAAGTAGCTACAGGACAGTATCAGTTATATGGCCCTTATTAGATTGAGAGTCACTTTCCCCCATGTACGGAATAGAAAGTAAATAACTCTCAATTTGTTTCCTGGCGTTTTTTTTCCTTTTCTTTTTTTCTTACCTGAGCATGAAGTGGCATAAGTCATTATTAAATCCTATGTCATTATTTAAAAAAGAAGGAAAATTTGGGCTCATGCTCTTATTGGTGTTTGGGTGTATGTGTGAGCGTGCGTGTGTGTCCGCCGGGGGGAAAAGAAAATGAGAGGGCAAGGCGAGTGGTGGGGGAAAGGGAGGGGTGGGGATTCAGTAACTCCTTTTGTGTCTTGAAAATCAAGCAATTGAAAATTTTGAGTGATGGATTCATTTACTAAAAATCAACTAAAATTAAAGGGAAGGAAAAAAAGTGATAATGCTGTTGTAGAAGCGATTACGATTGCTTTGTGTCCTCTAGACAGTGATAGACAACCAATTTTTGAGTGTTGGAACTGGAAAAAAAAAAGTGTTGATGACATAAGTTTCATGTATTTTTCAATTATTATCCTAACAAGGAGATGGCACAGTCTAAAGGAGATACTTGAATAGATTGTATGTAACTTAATGTCTGCTCCATAGTTTCTGTTTCACTTTTTTTTTTTTCGATTTGAAAAGTAAGTCGTGCTTAAAGTGGTTTGACTATTAACAAAAGAGTGCTTGGAAACCCCATGGATGAATAACAAATATTCTTTTTTTTTCTTTTATCAACAATTGTTTACAGAGAGAATTGCAACATTCCAATGCACAAATATGGCCATATGCAACGAGGCAAAGAAGAGTAAAAGACAATAAAACAAGCCTTATTTTGCAGTTTCTACCCCACACACACACAAAAAGATGGAAAAAGCTAACAACAATTGTTTTGCTCACAAATAGTCCAAAAGCAGAGATGATAAATTTTTGTATCAGACCTATATACACGAGAATGAAGAAAAAAGAAAAAAACTGTGGGTACACACCTGATATGAGAATGGCATTTGTTCAAGTCCCCCAAGAAGATGGGACCTTTCATAGATGCAAAGCTAAATATTTCCATAAGCTGCCGTAAGTCTCTGGATATCCTTAGCATACGTATCAGAATTTTGTAAAGGTTCTTGTTGCTGCTGTTGATTATGAGGCCACATACAGTTTGATGAACTATTATTATTAGTCAGGAAATGTGTTTCTGATTTTATCTCGATATTGTATAAGGATTGTGGAGTTTGATTTTGCAAAGCAGCCGCCATTACTAATGGGTTATTGAGATATTCTGGCCACTTGATTTCTTCTGCTTGGCTTTCCATTAGATGAATTGGAGCTTCTTTCTCCGGTGTGCTACAATCTGCCAATCCCCAAGAGAAACTATTATTCTCATAGAAGGAACTGTTGCTTTGTAGCTCAGTCCTGCTGCCGCTGTTACTGTTATTAGCGGACGCAACCGTTTCCCAATAGCGGGATCCATTAACAGTAAACGAGGCCATTGAAGGACTATCAGAGGAAACGGTGACAGATTGCTTGAAGCCCATAGGAGCAGAGAGAAATGAACTTGTCAAGGGGGGAAGAAGGGTAGACATCGAAGTTGAAGAAAATTCAGAATTGATATCGAAAGCTTTGCTCGTTTGGGTGAACCAGAGAGTAGGGTTTGAGGTAGATGAGAGCCTTGCATTGGATGCATAGTTCAATTGCTGAATTGGAAGAAGACCCACCAAATCAGAAGGATGGCCGTTGGTTGTTGTGCTTTCATGGTGAGTGGTTGAGAATCTATCCAGAAAAAAATCTTTGCTGGCTGTAGATGTTATCAAATTGCGGTTGTTGCTACTGTTATTGCTGCTGTTCATCGTCTTGGAGCTGGAAGATCCTTCCATTTCCAATTGGTAACCTTGTGCAGTAACCGATGTTGGTCTTTGTTCATGTAAAGCTGCTCCAGGTTTAACATTGTCGGCGTTGAGGTTTAATTCACTAGATGCCCCGGAAACCATATCCATGCTATTTGTCGGTTGACACTTGTCTTCTCCATTTTCAACCTCTGAGAGCGGTTTGTGCGTGACAGGGTCAATGCCCCTCTGCCTAAGCTTCTTCTTTAAGCAAGAATTCCATAGATTTTTAATTTCATTGTCGGTTCTTCCTGGCAATTGTGCAGCGATTTGGGACCACCTGAGGAAGCCACAGAACGCAAAGATTGTTTACAGAATTCTGTATAAAATCCAAAAGCAAGAAAAAAAAAAGTTACGAGAAAGAAAGAATACCTATTCCCCAAAGCTGCATGAAGTTCAACTATGAGGTTCTCTTCTTCTTGAGAGAATGTGCCTCTCTTTAAATCAGGCCGTAAGTAGTTAATCCACCTTAATCTGCAGCTTTTTCCACACCTCTGCAGACCTGCCAATTTGTCATATTTTGGAAACAATTCATGAATACTCTGCCATTTAATTTCGTGAAGGCCTGATGATTTAAAAAAGAAACTAACATGAAAAAGGAAGTTAAAAGTTGCTTAAAATTACCAGCTTGTTTAGGGACAGAGCTCCAGCAACCATGACCGTACTTTGTAATATGCCTCAAGAGCTTCTCATCTTCTTCAGGAGACCAAAGACCTTTCCTCAGCTTCTGCTTGTAGCAACAAGAGTGCCTCCCCATTTTGAGACAGATCAAATTACAATGAGGAAGGGACCTTTCCTAAAACAGCAACTTTGCTGAATCCTAGGTGAAATTGTCAGCAATGAGCAGGGCTGGTTTTGAACAGTGCCTTTGGAATGCTTTGGTAAAAAAAAAAAAAAAAAGCTATAGAGAGAGAGAAAGAGAGGGTTTTGATATAGGGAGGCTAGAAATTGAAGTAGCAGCTGAGAAAGGGAATTGAATTAATATAAGAGGAGGCTCTCCAGAAAGAAAAGTCGCATTCATTAAGGTGTTATAGTTTCTCTCTCTCTCGACCCACCTCCTCTTCCTTTTTTTTTTTTGTTCTCTAGTTTTTCCTCTTTATTTCTACTTTTTTTCATTTCTTCTCCTCATATTGACTAAGGGTGGAGATGAGTTAATAATAGTCTGAGTTGCATGTGTCTCATCAAGGTCTGAGAATTAATGTCTTCAGCAGGGGTGGTGGGACATTTTTCCTGATATTATATTGAGAGGAAAACAGATGTTTCATTATAACCCATGCTTTTAACTTCATCAGTGAATTGCCAAGCCAGGAAAACGCCACACCTATTCCAAATGGTAAATTTAAGTCAATGGAGACCGACAGTAACTCTCTTTACACTAGGCAAAAGAATTTCCCATTGTGGTTTTTGGACTTCTGTTTACCTCTTAAAATCCCAATTCAAAAGCATCCCCAACAACAAGATCAAGATGGAAGAAAAAATATAACAGAAAGTTCTCCTCCTCTACAGGAAAAAAAAGGTTCTATATTAAGTATCTCTTTGCTTATGCACAAGCACAACAACTTTTTGTGTCACAAAGGAAACAGAGTCTACTCCCTTCTTTTACTCTATGAGCTTTTTGGGCAATTCTCCAAATCATGATCACTTTGAAAAGTTTCATCATTAAGTGGAAAGAAGAAAATTTTTTGTTCATGTTCTGAAAATTAAGAATGTCTTTCCTGTTTGTGATGAATTCCACTCAGTGTTAAAATTTGCTTTACTCCACAAATAATTTCCACTTTGAGATTTAAGACTTATTCACATTTTTCCCCCTTTTTTTCCTCTAATTGATTGAAGATGGGAATGTTTTCTTCACACGTAAATGACCAAATTTGAGAAACAGATTAAAACTGCTGTCTTCATATATTTACATACGTTGAAGGTGACTACGTAGTTTGTATTTATCAGATCAGCCAACACATTCCACGAAAATCTGTTGTTTCTTATTTTTAGTAACACAAACTGCAACGGGCAAAACTAAACCCTTCAGGTTTACCACAGCCCAAAATTTATTACAATTCGGAACTATAATTAAAATCTTTTAATAGAGACTTTGGTAAACAACCCCATTTGGACCAAACCACTACTACCAGGCCACCCCCACCCCCCTCCCCAGCATTTTGTACAAATATCTGACCTTTCTGCATAACCCTTTCTCCAATCACTATTCACATGACAGATTTTGCTGTATTCTGAAAAAGTGAGGTTCATTCATAATGATTTTCCAAGATTCCAATGTCCTAGCTTCTCAGTTCATACTTCATATATTCGTTGACAAAAAATAGTATTTTTTTTTAACTTTGAGGCAGCTGATCATCATGAACCTATAGAGGACGAGAATAGCTTTTTCTTGGTCTAATGGTGGAGGTGCAAAACAGAAGGTTAAAGGTATACTAGACGCTACAATAACTTTTGGGACCAAAGAAGCTGTCTATATCAAATTAGTCATGAATCTAAATCCCGCAGCAAGGTTGGACTTTTCAAGATTCATAAGGGGAATTCATCAGAAATGCTGCATTAAACTTGGTTTATGGCATGTTCCTTTCGGTAAACCCTCTAAAGGCCAGAGTTTACAGTTTCTAAAACCTGGCCATCCTTCATAGAAAATAGAAGATTTGAAGAACTTCAAGTCTTTCAATATGTTCACGAAAAATCTTTCCCTAATTCAAAACCTTGCCAAATGCATTATGAATTTAAAAACCAAACCCGAAAAAGAAGAAAAAAAATATGCACAATTTTGATAAAATGGTACTAATCTATATGAATCCAGTTTCTGCAAGAAAGCTTATTTAAATGTCAATATGACAAAGTTGAACAATAAATAAATGAGAAAAAGGATTCGGTTTAGAGATTAATTTTATATTTTATCTTAATGATTAGAAGTTTTATAGCAGCAATGCATGATAGAGCAGATAATTCTCTGAAACTGAATATTTAATTCATACGAGAGTAAACCTCCAGGAACACTGTATATTATATCAAACAGAACCAAATTCTTATGCATTTCAATTGTTTTTTCTTGCTCTGGACCACCTTTGCCGAAATTTTATTAGTTATTCCAGATTTAAACTCCCTAATCCTTGCTGTTTGCAACTTTTCTTTGGCCAGCCACGACAAAAACGAAATTAAAAATTTCCAAGAGATGATCAAGAACAGGTAGATTAAACTAGAACTCTCAAGAAACCACCTTAGGTTTTTTTTTTTTTTTTCTCTGCAGATTTTAAATGATTTAACAGGCTGATGACTTGAAAGATAACAAGAAATTCATCAAATTATTCCAAATCATTAGCTGTCCTGGGGATGGCCCGCATTGAAATGTGAAACCCTTGGGAATCTTGATAAAAAGATTAGAAAGTATCGATCATAGGCGGCAACACAGTATTCCAACATCAATTTTACATAGGACCAGTTTATATTCAATCGACTTGACAAATTTAAAACAAAAGAAAATCCTCTCTTTTTCTCCTTTGTACAGCCGAGTGTATTATGTTCTCCCTCACCCAAAAAACAAAAATTGCAAAACGTTGACGAGTAATATAGTCAATTCACACATTTCTAAAGACTAATAATTGCCCCAAGGAAGGTATTGTCTATCAAAATATTCAATGATCTTAAGGTTAAAATTATCTCAGGTAACAACAGTGCCTAATTTTACCCTTTTTTTCTTTCCTTTTTCTGGAATGACAAGTTTAGCCATCTGAAGAAGTTCATGGGAATTTGGGGTTGAACCCACCATCATTCGAAGGGGTCCCATGGAGCATACTGAAGGTTTGGATCAATGGCTGATACAGATATGGAAAGGGTATCATTAGGTTGATGATCAGATGGCTAAGAATCAGTCAATGGAGTTAATTTGTGTGCATGTAAAATTGTCCAGGGAGGAATGGACCCATTAGATACTGAGCACTACACAACATTTGCATCTGCTTCACACTGTATAAATAACAGATCCGCCATCTTTCTGGGTCCCAAATGTCTCAAAATTATGCAATCCGGAAGATGATGATTAAATGGTTATTTTTGTCATTTCAAGTTTTTCTTTTCTTTTTTTTTTTTTCCAGTTCTTAATGTTCTTCAGTTTTCTATCTGGGAGTAAAATGTTGAATAGTACTATACTATACCCAATGCTACACGCTTCCTATTTCGTACAAATAACAAGTCCATAATGTTTCAAATTCTTACAGCAAAACGTTTGCTTCACTGATTAATGCATTATCCTCTTTGTTTGATTAGATTCAAATTCTTGTCTTTTTCAAATCAACTTTGTGTTTGAGATAACGGAATCCAGATTTTAACATAATTAATAAATTTTTTAATTTCAATCTTATGTTTTTCTTTAATCAATTAAAATTAATAAACAAAAGATGTGATTTTTTTTTTGAGACATATGGAAATGAATATGTCTAACAAATTAAGTATTTATGATTGATTGTAAGTAAAATTGATGGGTTTTTTTTTCAATCAAAGTTGGGAAATATAAAAAAAAATTTAAATTTTTATAATTAAATACAATAATTTTTTAATATTTATTTTATTTTTTCACGTTGGAAATATATACAAGTAGGATAATTGAGTTAATAGTTCAAGCATTTCACTTTCATTCGACTGTGCCATAAATCTAAGGCCAATCAAATGAAAACAAGTCAAGATCAGCGGCAAAAGAAAGGGGCATAGAGGCTGCTCATACACATAACCGAGATGTGCGGGACCCTGCTAGGCTACGGAGTATGGCGATATGGAATGCTCACATTATCCGTACTCCTCCACCGACAGATTCATCATTAATTCATTCTTTTCTTTTTATTTTCTTTAACAAGAAAAAACCCATCTTTTTTTTTTTTTTTTTTAGTTTGCAATCACAAAAAATATCATTGAAACCCATTGTTTAACGTATAAAAAAAAGTAGGCTTGAATCTGATTTTTAAAGCATATAATAAAATAAATATTATATATTAAAATTTATTTTTTTTCTTTTAACAATTGATCTGATGTTACATATATATTTGTTTGGTTGTAGAAGTCTTTACTCATTAATATTTTACGTGTAATATCGAATATGAGATTTGCAAGCCATTGTAATTAATTACTAATATTAGTATTAGTTTTCAATTTTGGAGTTTAAGCCACTCTCTCAAGTTTATATTCAAAATTAATGCTAGCTGCTACCTCTGCTCGTTCTTCAAAAAAAAAAAAAAAGTGCTTCGTTGCCATGGGATATATAATTAAGATATGAACCTTTAATATATATTTGTCGTTCTAATTTTTATTTAATTTTACTATTTTAATTCTTTATAAGGGAAAAAAAAACACGAAATTAACATTAGATTATTTATTTGTTCGTTTGGTTAGAGAAAAAAAAGGAAAAGAAAAAAAAAGATGGAATGGAAATAATTTTTTTCATCATTTCCTTTGTTTGTAGGAGAAAAATAAAAACAAAAAAAAAGTATTTGTACATTTTTTTCTCCAAATTTAATCTTTTCAAATGTAAAAAAAAAAAAAAAAAAACCCATTCAATTTATAAGTAGTTTTGTTTTCCATATGATCAAATTCATTGGATTTCAAGTAGTCAACGAAATTAAAAATAAGAACCGACGAGTCTCAGTGTAATAGTAAAGAATAAGGTAAAATGGGTATTTTAAAAACAAAGAACAGATAACAGGTATTAGGAACGGAAAACAGAAAGAGATAAACAATAAATGGGGGAATTGTTAAGCTAATCAGGCCAGAAAATTAAATGAATAATGATGAAACAATTCCTGAAAAAAAAAGAGCTTTTTCTAGTGTTTTCTTTTTATTTAAAAAAAAAAAAGGGTTGAATTTGATCATTAATCCGAGAAGCGGACAAAAAAAAAGTTATTAGTACATGACGGCTTCACTTTCGGATTTTTCGGATAATAAAATCCTAACAATATTATATGATATTATGATAACAGTGTGTAGATTGATTAAACTTGACATTAGATGGCCTCTAAACTTAAAAAGGTAAAACATGATATAGAATAGTGTAGCATATAGGGTTGTTGTTCTACGTACTTTTTCCATCTTGCAAGATTTCAAGACAAACACAAAAATCAAATAAAATCAGGTGCACGTCTTTTTCCTCTAACCATCTTTGATAGTTTTTCTATTAAAAAAATGTAAATTCCAATCCACTTCTTTGAATACAAAATACATTCTCTTGTTACTAATTGAATGCTCAAACGCAGTTATCTTTCTTTCTTCTTTTTTTTTTTTTAATTTTGTCATGATATCTTTTAATTAACTATGTAAATGAACCAAACATTAACCGATTTTATTATATTCGTGATTTATTTATTTATTTAATAAATTTAAAATATTATTTGTGATCATTTTTTTAATTTTATAAATGAATAAAAACGTATCCTATTCATGAATTGTTCATTGAAGCTACTTTTCAATATAAACAAATTAAATATGAATAAATTTTATTATATTCATGATATATTTTTTAATTTTTTTTAAAATACAATTTTGTTTTATTTAT